CATGCGCATTTCTATCAAACTCAATTTGTTCAATTTCCTGATGTAAGAACACGATGAAATCATCACCACAAATAAGTGGACTGCTGACCAGATTGCTTTCACGGTGTCTGCATGCCTGGTGGCTTTATGACTCCTGGTTAGTGTCCAAGCACGGTAGCTTGATGTCAATCTTTTTTGCCTGAATCACTGAATGTTTTTTAAGGTCTTGACTTTCTGAGACACATAATGCTGAACACTTCGTAGCTGCTGTGTTGTCTTCCAAGTTCGCCCCTATTTCCCTCTGGGCTTTGACTTTCCTTGTCACAGTTTTGTGTGTTGGGCCTAACCGGCTGCACAGGCTTTTTCAAAAGCTTCTGTGGCGCTGCGTCTAAACAGACTGGTGTGTTGTTGTGTTTCCTACTCTCCTGTAAGCTCTCCTGATTGTTTCCAAGAAACTTCGTACCAAAGGTTCTGCGAAACAAGATCGCTTGTTGTACAGTCATACCTGGAACATCGCAATGATCAGCTGGGTTATGTTCAAGTTTCATTGAGTTTTTGAACTTATAAGGCTGAGCTGGAGGAGACCTACAATGAAATGCGGGCGACGAATAGCCCCATCTCTGGCTATGGGCGTGAACGTCCCAGCTCGATTCGTCTTTGCGTATCATTTTAGCCATGTTCGTGCGCTTTCTCTTGGACGAATTTTCTTTACTGTCAGAACAATTAACGGGTTTATATCCCCAGCTAGTCACACGTGGTGGAGAACTGCCATCAACTCCAAACACAGCTGGAATGATAACAAAGCGTACCCTTCGGTTTTCAGTGTTTCCAAACGCATTTTTCTTCTTGGACAGTTGTGCACAAATTGACATGACCTCAATGGCAGGTAGAAATTTTTCGAACGAATCGTCACTGGCCTGTGATCTGCTTCTAAACTCTTGTATGTCAAAACATGGTGATCTTGTTGGTATCGGACTTTGGGAAGTGTCAACGCAGGTCGACATCGGGGAGGTTAGTGTTCGGAAGTCAAAGCTGTAATCATTCAAAAAATGAAAATGCAGTTAGATATGGAAGCATGCGGTTGCTCAACTTGATATAAATATGTACAGAAAACGTTACTTCTGATATTGTCGAGTTTCACTCAGTAAATTGCTTTTAACTCAGTGGTAATGGTCGTTCTATAGGCTATGTGTACTAGATATATGCTGATGTAAGACGCCCCTTCTATGTGGTATCATTCAAAGGTCGACCTCTAAAAGTTCATGATTTAGGTACAGTGCTGCTTAGTTTATAATCAAGTTATCCACTTCACCAAACACTTTAGAAGTCCATATTAAATGCAAAGTAAATTTGCCAGTGTAGTTCTTGGTAAGTACATATTATTACTTGGTTAGGATTTAGCCAACTCGAAACCGTGAGCCCTCTCTGGACTGGCAGCCACCATAACCTTCTTGTTTACTGTTTGAGCATTCGTCCTCGCTGTCTCCAGGATTGATGGCTGTTTAGTAAGACACTCAGTAATCCTTTTCTCTGTGTGGGAGTATTATTCGCGAATTCGTCTCATTTCTTTTCTTAAGGTTTTAATGAAAATGTAGACGCCGGATTCAAAGAACTGACAAATGATTGGATAATTATTTAACCAAAAGAGGTCGCGAACGTTAGACAATGGGAGATGAGATTAAATTAAGGATTATGTTTGGTGTTTATATTGATTATGTCAACGAAGGTTAAAATAAGTATTTGATTCGTTTGTCTGTTTCTCAGTAAAAGCACACAAGATCTTTTGTGCAGTTTTGTCGAACAAAAATTAAATTTGAAAATGCTGATTCCTTTCATTAATTCTATTGGTGCTTTCCAATCGACTTTCGAAGGGAATTCTGCTTTTGTCAGTTTTGGATCGGTTTTCTGAACGTCTGACCAATGACACGAAGCAAATGTCTTAAAGCAATGAACCAATCACAACTCAAAGCGAAAACATTCAACTTGAGTCAGGCAAGTACCCTATTTTCGACCTCTAGGAATCAGTACACGTCTCTAATACATGACCTCAGCTAACCAGGAAAGCGTCGAATTGCGTCAACTTTTTAATAAAAGCTTAAAATCCCCCTATTTTAATGAGAAAAAACTAGTTTCATCCAAAGCAGCAAACCCAATTCCGAGCAAGAATTTCATTCACTTCAGACCACAATAGTAACAATTTTCAAACTCTATAATCTATTTCAGCAACCCGGTTCTAATGCCATACCTTTTGACGCCGGCCACACATACCTTTGTAACTTATCCTTGTTAGTAACCCTCGCGTGTGAGGGTTTCTTGGCTTTCCAGCACCCTGTATGGATTTATATTTCTCCAGGAACGATACAAAACCAACGTATTATTATCTTTAGAAAATTCTCTTTTTTTTTTTTGTTGAAAAAATAGTGCAGTTACCAAATACAGTAAGGATGAAAGGAGCTATGTCCATTGAAAATTACGTCCAGATCGAAGAACTGCACTTCAAATCGGGTAGTAATGACAAAGGGAATAGATGGTTAGAACTGAGGCTGATGGAGACGGCCATTACAACATTACGAAAGTGAGTAATTTACAGGTTACGATACAGCTCCGCAACTTAAAGTTAAACTATTTTACACATAGCTGATAAGTTAATTTACCGCAACAAAGGTCAGTCAACATCACAATAAAACACTCACAACACGGCCCTGATTGATGGCATTTTCCTTCTACAGTTTATAAACACTTCACACAGTCTGATTTCAATTGGATTGTTTAGTGTTTAAATGTTATCTCTTAGTCACTAGCTAAGTTAGTTTTACCAGCAACTGTTTGCAATTAAAAGTTACCTATAGACAATTTAGCCCATACTAAACCCAACAAAACTTAACTACGTTTCCGCTCGCGCAAGTTAAACCGCACGCATATCATTGGACGCAATGCAACAGTCAGTTATTAGGTCGCGGTAATTCGTCTGCTAATAAATATTCCGCAGTTATTAATTTTGATGCATCACATTGGCTTTCAACAAGAAAAGAATTTCTTTTGTCAAACAAATGCATTATTGTTTGTTTGGTAACTCAATCAGTGGCGTGGGACATCAATACAACAGAAATAACTGTAACTGTGCACTTAAAAACGTTTGTGGATTGAAGGATTCATTCGCGGTTTAATTGCAAGATAATGGATGCGAAGTTTACAGGCAAAAAGACATCAGAAGACCAGGCGATTGAGCAGGCATTAAGAAGGCTTAAACATTTGCACACTTCGCTGATGCCACACGAGGGAAGCAAAAGACAAAATGGACATGACGACAGAATTTTATTTCGGACCAAAGAATTGAAGTCGAGACACGAGGAACAACTTGCCAGAGCTAGAAGAACTCCAGAGAAACAATATTTTCTGTCTTTGCAACCGAAGACTCCAAGCACGTCCAGAGAAAAGGTAAAAACACGGGTTGTGAAGCGTAAACAAGAGAAGAAAGCCATTCGAACGGGCCGTGCACCATTACAGGCTTACCGAGTACCAAGTTCTTCAGTCACCGCCGAAGAAATGCTTCAATCGAAGAGAGATAATATGATAGACTCAAGAGATAACCGTGGTTGTAAAGAACGTCTTTCTAAGTCAGCGCCAGGGGTGTTCTGCGCCAATGATCCTCACAAATGCATTCAGTGCTATACAAAAGATTTTGGTGAGAACGCAAACAGGGAGAAACCGACTAAGGAATACTTTACAAACATGAAAATTAATCGCGTTACTTTCTCCGCTCGGCCAAGTGGCTACAAAGTCAAGTCAGTGCGTGAAAGCAAAAGCAAAATTGAAGTGCCTAAAAGTTGTTTCTTTAATGGCTGGGGCGTGCGGTCAAACAAGGAATCATTACCACAAGGTGGAGACACAAACAACGATTTGAAGCGAAACGTGGCCAAGGAAACTATGGATGTTACTGTCGGTTTGAAGACCCTTAGACTAGAACCCAAGAGAATGCAACAAGAACAGACCGAGCAAACAGTTTCCCAACCCCCTCCCACACCGGTTCGACAAATTGACATCAAATTACCTCAAGGGGTGATGGTAAGGTATCAACTGTCAGAAGACGATTAATGTACCGTTGCCCTCTAAAATTGACGTAAAGAAAGGAGAATTTAGAAATGATCAACTTATTTCTCCTTACCATGTTGCTGCAGTCACACTTGCAACTGTGATAAAATACTCATGAGGCTGCTCAATTCCTGCAATTGATGGGAGCCGATCGTGACCGAAGTATATTGAACCTAATCGATCTTTCTTGGTGTGAGCGAGACTTTTGGTGCATCATATATATATACAAACTGTGATGTGACCACTTTGGAGAATCTATATACTGATGGCTCTCGAAAGGACTTAGTTCCCCGTATCGCGCAGCTTTATATATTATTCTGATTTCCATTGCATGTAGTCACTTACTCAGTGTCAAATATTATATGACCTATAATACATGAAACGCTTTATAAGTATAACTATGAGCTCATCGAAGTCAGTTTATTAAATTTGTTAGGATGGTATGTAAGTCACAAACCATCAAGGTATAACACTCACTCGCGGATCAGTATAAAATCTTCAGCCAAGCTTGAAACCACTGGCTCGAGAATTATTAATTTTGTTGTTGGTGTCTGAAGACACTATAATTTAGATTAAAGACTTTGCAATGTTGCACAATCCCAGAAATTTACCTCCATAGCTTCTGAATTAAAAATATCATGAAGACTACGGCAACCAAAGGGAGAGTGTTAGAAACACATGTACAAAGGAGCATACGACAGTAAATAACAATTCTTATTAATTTATTGCAAAAAACAGTCACGCGATAAAATTAGATTCATTTCATCATAATACATGCAGTTTTGTAAGGGCGGCGGATAGTTATATGGAATGAAACTTTCTTACACAAAGCGAATAATTTACCTAAAGTATAGCCATAAAAAGTATTATAGTTCTATAGAATGAGAGAAGACAATTAGCATGTTTGTTTCTTCAACTGAGTAAACTGGTAATTAATTTTATTGAATAAAATTCTGATATTCAGCGACTTCTAAGAACTAATAGAAATGAGCCGTAAATTAATAAGGTCTTGAAAAGTTTGTTACTCACTAAAAACATACTTTATGAGGAAATTAGGGCGATATTTATATTAATATTTCTCTCGACAGCACACACTACAAAATAACTGTCGTATTTTACCTTAATTAAATATTTCACGACAACAGTCATAAATTATTGATATCGTTTCCATCTTCTTTCGCCGACTTAATGCTCTGTGTTGAGATGGGAGAATAAAGATGAATTTCGTGAAGAAATTCACTGAAATGTACGTTTCTTTTATATTTTGGTTGCGAATCTTCGATTTCCCTTTTATCTGAACTGACACCGTTTTGCGCGGCTTCTTTGTGTCTAACTCCCTCCGTCGAAGAACTTCCGTTTTCAAGTTCATTCCATTTTGCTAAACGATAGGGTGGAATTTCAATATTTACAAAAGGCACTAGCCAAAGATGTCCTTCGTCAGTGGTTATTGCCTCCGAAGAGAGGTCTATTTCTCGCGGCGGTGAGATACGTGGAAATTGTGAAACGGCTGATATTGAAGACGAGTCGTGAAGCATAAAGTGGTCACTAGGCAACTGTCGAACGGTTAAACAAGTTTCTGCTGCAAACGTGCTGGGCTCGTCGCGTCGAGAAAGTTGCCGATCGTGTGCCTTCTTTCTGTGCGGTTTAACCGAGCTAAATTTACTGTCCTTGATTTTTGGCAACGGCGGCATTTTTGGAAGCGTTGTGTAAAATATTTCTTTATTTTCTGGCGGTATTCCCTCCAATTTCGGTAATATAAGTTGAGCACGATCTTCGGAGTGAGTCACATTGTGCTCGTCAAAAATTTTGCCATTAGCCTCACTTTTTAGAAGTAGCTGTTTCAAATACTCCTGATCATTAAGATAAATCGGTTTCGATAAGTCCTCATAGTGCAGATTTGATGAAGGTTTCTTGCGTTGTGTTCGCGTTTCTTCTGTTAATCCACTGCCTGTCGCTGGATTCGCTAGCTGTTTACCGGTCTGTGTCTTGTTAGTAGCGTGTCTCTGATCACCTCTGTTTACGTCGGATAATCCTTTTCTAAATATACGTACAGCCTTTTCTTCATAGCGTCTGTGTAACAGTAACAGTTCTTGAAGGTTTTTGTAACCCCTTTTATCTTTTACTGATGACGAAGAACCGGTCAAAGCCATTGGCATTGTGAAATCTTGAGTTTACCTTGTAAGAGCTTCACAAAAAAACGCACTCAAACAGCCAATGACACAGGCAAACTTCGTTTGACACTAGCATTAGAAATCTAATGAGTAAACCAGTCCAAATATCACTCGGTAAACAGTTATCGAGGACACGCATGCAACGACATAACTCGCTTTGTTCGCTTCGGGATAAGGTGTCACCCGAAATGACAAGCTTGTGGCGAATGAATATTTTATGAAATATTCGATTTATTGGCTGGCTATGACCAATGACCCAAGACATATCACATTGCGAGTATATCTAAAGAGCCTGTAAAAATAATTGTCTTTTATAAACATTTTAGTTTCCATCCGAAAAACATAACCAAAATTAAAGGAACCTATTTTAGTTGGTGCATTTCTTGAAATATTTTTATGATCTTTTTCGACAAAAAATACCTGCAATAATAAAAAGTACTTGTTGAAAATAAGATTTGATCTTTTGTTAGCGTGACGCCAATATTGTCAAATTTATTTGCATTTTCTTGAATCCTTTGTTTTTTTCAGGTGACATTATTGGCATTTTTCCGAGCCGAGTGGTCAGCTAAGAAGAAAAGGTCCCACATGTTTGGTTTCGGTTTTCGTAAAGAAAAAAATCAGTTTAATATATGGACATACACGTACATAACGAACACAATACGCGCCATGTCATATGAACAAAAAAGCGGAAGATTATTTTCATTAAACGACTGTGACAAGGTTAACTACATAATTGGCCGAGTGGACTTTAAAAAGAAACCATTAAATTGCGTGATTACTATAATGAGGATAATTAAATTATTAGAGAGTATGAACAAAATGTGGGGAATAAAGAAGCTAAGCCTGTGTAACAATTGACCTTTTGAAATTCCTAATCCTAATTTGCCTTTCTGGTTTCGAAACATTATTTTCTAGTTGTAATTCTGTCACACGCGACGCCTCATGGCTAGTGCGCTCGACTCCAGGGACACTGTGTTGTGTTCTTGAACAAGACACTTCTGACTCTCTCCACCCAGGTGTATAAATGGTACCGGTGAGTTGATGCCAGGGGGTAACCCTGCGATGGACTAGCATCCCATCCAGGGGTGAGTAGAAACACGCCTAGTCGCGTCATACCGCAGAAACCGGAGATAGCGCTAGCGCTAGGTATCGGTGACGGGCCACGTGGCTCGCATGCAGATTTAACCTACTTACCTCTATTATTTGTTCGAAGAATTTGACCTTATTGGCGGTGTACTATTCTAAGTATCTCAGCGGTGAATAAAATCGGAGGCTATCGAAATGACAGAAATGACGAATGACAGTTGTGGTCTTTTCTCTCATTTAGCATATTAGCATTTCGAAAGTTTAGTGTTGATTTAGGAAAACGCTGAGAAAACGTTAGAGCTGAAGGGAGCAGTTAGGAGCGAAAGTTCAGCGAAAACGCTGAGTTCAGCGAAAACGCTTAACGCATCATCGAAAACTCGCTAGTTTGGACGGGGTCTCAGAACTTTTCACAAGCCTATTTCATTCACGATGCTTTGGTTCTGAACTGGTTATACCATTACTGTTATGTCCCGCTGTCATCAGGCTAGCCTGCGAGCAGACTCACCTTCGAGTCACGCGCGCGAGCGGCAAACAGCAAAGCGATCCGGCGGGAAGGAGTCTGGTGAAGAGGCGCCAAGTCACTTTCTCGTCTAGCGGCTTCGCCGTTCAATTTCGCGCTCGCCGCTCGAACGTGCGTGAGCCTGCTCGCAGCCTACCATCAGGCCTTATAAGGTAAGACGCTCGATTCACCCGAAAGTGGTACCATTTTCCGATTAAAGTTACATTAGAGGTGATTTTATCACAGGAAAAGCGCGGGAAAACTATCATTTAGACGTGGGGCTGTTTAATACATGCCCTACCGTACAATCGCATTGACTGAATCTTTAAAGTACAGGAATACAGAAAAGAGATGAAGTTTCTGTTAGTGTAGGCATGTGAAAATGAGCCATTATATAGGAGAGCCTGAGTATTATTACAGAATTACCTTGTCAAAAAATGGTATATTAGTGGTTACGGGGTTTCGACTAGGTTGAGTTCCCATCGCTTTTCGCCTTTCCTACCCTTCCCCCGTTTACGCCTACGGTTAATAAATCATAACGCCTTCTTCCCCCACTGCCGCTCACTCCACTTCCTTTCTTTTACCACACAACTGACGACAATAATTTGCTCAAAAATAGAAAAAAGAGAAACGCTTTAAATTTATTAGTTATCTTCTCTCTTCTATATACATAGCATCAGTGTGTTAAAATTCAAAATTCGCGTCTCTTTTCTAAAACTGTTTCTTACTCAAAGCCAGGAAACTCCATGAGTTCGGCTTTGATGTTCATTGGTTTAGTACTTCATACAATGCTTTGGCTGAAACGAACGTTCCAAAAATCGACACCAGGACACCAAACAAAATCATAATGTAATCCAGAGCTTTCTGCCAGCAGCTTAAATCCTTTTTTCTGAGAAACAAATGAGCCGCACAAGGCAGAATGCAGTTGAATAACGGCAGCGACAAGTTACCGAAAAACGACGTCAAAAAACCAAAATGCGGAATGAAGGCTGCTGCTAAAAGGGTAACAGAAACAAACAAAACTCGAAGCCCAGCAAAACAGACGAATCTCGGCAATCGTACTTTCGTCTGCAGTAAAAAATAAGTGTTGGAATCTTCGATGCACTGAAAAACTGCAAGGAGTGGTAGTGCATATGAAAAAAGACAACTTACGACAAACACTACGCTGACAATAATATGGGGCAGATTGTTAGGAAGATTGTTAATAACAATTTCATCCGTGGCAAAAGAGAATGAAAGAAAACCGAAAATCGAAAAGGTCAGCTTGAACAAGACTGCAGCGATATAAGCAAGTGCTAAAGCTCGTCCAAATTTAGATCTGTCAGCCATGCTTTCTTCAACAGAGGGCACAATAGGGGCCGAGCCGTAACTGAACATGATGATCCCCAGGGAAATAAGAAACCCCTGTGTGTCCCAGAACAAGAGACTCTTGAGATCCCACTGTGAGTGGTGAGTGGCCCCGTACCACAGAATAACCGCGGCAGTCCCCAGTAAAGCTGAAATTCCAATGACGCTCAGCCAAGCAATTTGAGACAGCGACTTCAAAAATGTCGATGGAAGAACCACAGCGACCGCAATGCACGTCCACAGTGCTGCTGTCAGGGGTACTGACGGGAAAGCGGATTTCATCAGCGAGCCGCACACGATAAGATATGAAGTCGCGATAACGGTCAGATCAAAGCACTGTACCACAGCTACCATAGTTCCACCAAAGCGAGGCCAAATGGCTTGTCCGATTTCATTCCACGAAGAACGCACACGTACGTTACCATGGACACGGTGTCTATTGTACAGACATTCGACCAGCACTCTGGCCGTGAACCAGTAGATAATAGGCATGATAATAAAAGCTCCAACCGCTGCTATTCCACCTTTAGCGACAGCAAACGGGAGAGCTAAGAAACCAACACCTTCAATGAAGTTGATGATGTTGAGTGTCGCCTTCCACACGGAAGCGCGACCGGGTTCGAGTGCAATGAGCAGCGTTCTTTCAGATACCGTGAAGACCCTTTCACGTGATGCGTCATCAAAGTCCTCACTAAGGGAGGGGTGCTCTTGAATGCTCGTGGACACATCAACAACAGCGTCATTATCAAAGTGTTCCATCTCTGATGCTGAAATACGGAAAGAAATACAATGATCGTGTACCAATCCTTACTGAAATAGGCACGAAAACAAGATTAGCTCTCCTTTTAGGTCTTAAGCCCAGTATGAAAGGGAAATGTTTGGCGATCAAACATGATCAAACATTGTTTGGTGACCAAACATGTTGATGTTTGGCCAAATGATATCAAACTTGTTTGACAAACAGTAAGAATTACCCCTATAAGCAACTGGGTCGAGAACACCGTCATGTTGAGTTCCATTAAAGATTGTCGTGATAAATTGTTGGTCTCACTTAAGGACCACGAAATAAGTTTTCTGTGTGCAAAAGGACATTAGTGTAAACAAGGATGATTGAAAATTAGCTAACTGAAGGTAAATAACACGACATAGGCACTTGTAAGCTCACACACAAAGCTCGCGCGATATCTATGAGCGAGAACGCATGCGCGCACAAAACATGTTTGACAAAGCCCTCCAAACGGGAAAAGGTTTTACAATGTTAGATCTAATGTTTGACGTCGTTCAAATTTTATCAAACACAATTCAACACGATCAAACATGGTGCCCAAACAGGGCCATGTTTGGTCACCAAATAATGTTTGATTGACAAACATTTCCCATTTGGACATGGCTTTACAGCTGTTATCTGTCATGATTGGTCACAATTTCTTGTCGTTACCTGATCGGGGAATTCCACATTAAATTTCCCGCAAAACACTCTACCCTGGGGCTGGAGGCTTTTTATTTTCAGTTGGTCAAATTCCGTTAAGTGGTGCTGAAATACCCCACCCTCGGGCCATGTTAGGCCATCAAATGTCCCAACCCCACGCCATACAAAGGAAAAAACTCATCCGGGCACCCCTACATTGAATTTCCACTGTGTTTCAAGTATTGCTTATACACTTATATCATTAACATGCAACAGCGATTAAATTTTCCGCGAGCAAAACACAACAAAGAGCTTTTTAGGGCTTTCTTCAAGGCCACAAAGTTGCATACAAAGAGCGTTGTGATCTCGTCATATTCTCTAGTTTCCCGAAGATTTTGAGGCAACTTTTTCAAATCCCCTCGACCCCTACTGTACAGTTTCAGAAGCTCCAACCCAATATCAACCAAGTCAGATTCCCACCCCACGGGGCACATCAATAATGACTGGTCCCAAAGGAAACTGTTTGAGGGTCGAGGGAAAACAAAACCAACTGTTTCCTGTGGGGCAAGTTTATTATACCTCCCAACTCAAAAATAGAAAAAAATCTGCGAAAATATTATTTTTTTGACGCGGCCGTTTTTGCGGGTGTCACGCAACGCTGAGAGCGTTGCGTGATATCCCCCAAAACACGTCTTGGGTGGGGACCAGACGCATCACGTGCAAGTCGGAATTCCCCAGGTAGTTTTGCTCGTCCTATAGGACGAAGGCTTGGATTTGAGGTCTATTATTATTAGTGCTCTTCTGAATTGTTTAGGACTTTTTGATCAACATAGAGTTTAGACTGGCTAGGTTCTTTTGATGTTCTTGAATAAAAAAATCGGATTGCCCGTAATTTAGTGTTTGACGGGCTTGAGCGCGCGGCTTCCGGTCACTGATTGTCCTGATTTGGTCACAAAGTTCTCTTTTGACTCCCTTCACATAAAGCAACACAGAATGGCTGACGTTAAATTTCTTATATTATCATTCGTTAAAGTCTCAGGTCGTCAAATCGTTAAAGCAAAGTGACTCACTAGTGTTACAAAATTTTACACGCAACTACTGCGCCGCGGTACAAAGGTTACGTAATGACGCAAGAAATGGACATGTTGATGAAATTCAAGGTGAACGAAAAATAGTTCGTGATAAAAGAGTTGCAGATAGCCCGATAGAAGATGGCTGAAAAATAACATCCGAGGAAAATGATAAGAGTTCGACATGGCGATTAAACTGTATGGCATGTTTAAAAACTCGACGTGCGAAGCATAGATTAGAATGCACGACAAATCACAACACTCCGTGAACACCGTTGGGTCACCATGCACCATTCGCTTAACAAATTACACGATTGGGCTGCCTATAATCAATCGCCGTCTATAATACCTAGGGTTACATCCCTTATTTTATATCTTGGCTTGTCGCCTATGGAACGGTAGCCAGAATAGTAACGAATGGTTAAGCGTGAGCCTTAACTAGCTAACCAGGACATGCACCTACCTGAAAGTGCTGTCATCAATAAATATCTTAACTTCAATCATCTGGTTTCTCAGCTGGTTTACAAGAATATATATCGTAATCAGATCTGCCGTGGGATATTTGTGGGTGTCACGTCATTACAAGTCACGTTCAGAGTGACGAGAGTTTAAACAATAGATTCAAGTCGAGGCTTCCTAATACGGAGTGATAGTTGTTGATTTTAACCTGCTGAGTCACATAGCTCTCAAAGAACTTTTGATGTTTTATTTTTGGTTATCCGGGTGTGTGTGTGTGGAGGAGGGGGTTATGCCATGTGGAAACATGACTGTTTTCTCCAAATAATTTGCAACGCTTGATTTCATAAGTAGCCGTTTATTTACCAGCATTCACAGTCACATGAGTGTAAAATATAGCTCAGCAAATGATGTCAGTTACTGACGAGCCAATCAGATGACACAAGAGAACTTACGTACAACCTCAAATTTAAAACTTTACTGAAGACTCACCTTTTCACTTAAGCTTTTAATTAGGATTTCACGGTTACCTTTCCTCATTTGCATTACAATAAAATCTAGCATGTATGTGAGGCAATTTCGGGCTATTTTGTAGTTTTAGCCCGAAATTGACTCGCATCCACGTTGGATTACATTGTAATGCAAATGAGAAAAATTAACRGTGAAAAGAGCTATTAGATAGGGTTTTTTGTAGTTCTTATAATTAGGTAAGGTTTCAGTAGTAGATGTAATTTTTAACATTTTTAATTGATCCTTTCGATTTTTACTAAGTGGATTTTAATTTTATTTTTTATGATTGTATATGTTGTAAAGCGCATTTGATCATCTACATATGTTAATGTCCCTGTTACATTAGATTTAACTTTTTTGTGTTAAGGTCCGGTAATACGGGCAACATTTTTCCTCAACTTGTCTCGCAACATTGTTGCATTGCAAGTTGAAACACATTGTTGCGCGTATTACCACGTTTGTGACCAACTTGTCTCGCAGCAAAATACAGTGTTGCAAGTTGAGGAAATATGTTGCGCAAAGTAGACTCGAGTTCTCCTTTCCGCAACAAATTTTAGTTTTGCTGCTTGTATTACCACTGAAGCTACAACTTGTGTCCCAACAAATTTGAATTCAACGCTTATGATTGGCTGTCGCGACGCGCGGCAAATAAAGAAACAGAACATGGCGGACGGTGAAGGCGAGTCTGAATTCGAAGTAGACCAGTAACTCTCGGAAGTCATAAATTTGTCCTGTACAAAGACTTCGAGAGCTATCATAGTCTTTGGGGCACCTCGTTTGTCCCCTCAAAACAAGCGCAGGAAAAAAGGCAAAAGGCTTGGAAGAACTGTCGCAAAAATACGTTTCGCCTAGCTACCTGAAACGACACTGAGCTTCATACTGAGAGGACTTCGCTGGCACGGAAAATTAAGAAAAAAATGACGGCCAGAAGTCGAAGTGCAACTTTGTTGAAATGCTAAATTATGCTACAAAAAGGCGCCATCTTTATTTACAAACGATTAAGCAATTGAATTATACCTGTGGAATTCTGCAGACTTGCAACACTGTATTTTGCTGCGAGTCAAGTTGGTCACAAACGTGGTAATACGCGCAACAAAGTGTTTTAACTTGTAATGCAACAATGTTGCGAGACAAGTTGAAGGAAAATGTTGCCCGTATTACCGGACCTTTACAGAGCGTTTTCATTGTCAATAAAAAATAAAATCAAAAACCATTCAGTGGATAAGGTCAAAGAAATTTTGATATTACAAAAGATAAATAAAGTAGCAAGTTTAGGTGTGTGCGTTGTCCCAAAGTTGAGATATTTGTCGAAATGTTCAGCGCAAATTTACAGAACCTAGTATGGAGCCGCCATGTTGGTGTTCCTCTGTGGTGCACCAAATTGGCGGCCGGAAAACATCTGGAACTTACTTTGGTTATCTGGGGCAATTATCTGCACTGAACAAATAAACATTAAAATAGCCACGCCCGTGCTAGGGTTGACAATGACGCAATCAACTACGCTACCAAATACACGACTAAAATGAAAGCAAAATTTTCCTCTGTGACCAAATCAAGTTTAATGAAACTGTACTTAAACCAGGGACACCACAATAGTAGCATATTGCTAAGTACCAACTGTTACCGTCTTCCGACTGAAAAACTATCTGTTATCTATCTGTTATCTCTACTGGAGGACTATTAGTAATAGTCTTCGAGTAGCGAAATTAACTTCATTATTGTCTTTTCTGTCCGACTAGTTGGGTGATGCTAAAACAATTAGACCCTTCGCCTCATGGGCTATTGACCCATAGCCCACAAGGGCTACGGGTCTAATCGTTAAATAGTCCCCTTTTCAGTTTCTTATTCTTTTTGAGCTCCAGAATCTACTTAAATCAGTTCCCTGTCTTTTCGTCAACCTGAAGTATGCAATGTCTGCTAGTCAAGTTCTATCCCAATGCAACTTCTATCACCAATGTAAGTTGTACCATGTACGACAATTAGCACAAGAGTGGTCCATGGCAGACCATTAACTGGAACTTATATTTGATAAAACCACCAATTGCAGCTTAAGGATATTGCTATATTTTGAATATAATCCTGTCTATCAGCCCATGAGCTAATGTAGTCAGTAGAAGTAACCATGTATATATCCATAATAGATATGTTCATAGAGGAGATCTACCCTAAACCATGCTAAGGCTTGAAGAAAAAACGGCCAGGGATAATTTAGAAGCAAGAATAACCCCAATACTGTATAGGCAATGATCGATGCGTAGCTGCCTGATACAAAAACCCTAATGAAAAACCTTTATCTGCGCTATAAAAATATTAAATATTATTATTATTATTTTAAGTCCTTAAAAGTCTTGCCGCTTTTAACTTATGGTGCCGAGTTCAATCCGCGAGCCTAGGGCAGTCATAAGTCTGCTGGATTACTTGATGGATAGAGTCCTCCTAAGTATCCTGTCCTACCCCACTGCCCATGTATTATTTGTATTATTATTACTATTATTATTATTATTATTAGATATTATTAAAATGATAAATAAAAAAATAAAATAAAAGAGAAGCATAATTTATAAGATATACTAGTAGTAATCAGAGATTATGAGTGCGTTCGACGCTCTCACTTAAATATATATATATACCATAAATAAATGATTTCACTTGCTGACTTTCAACCTTTGTCTATTGCTAAAATCAACATTTTTCAGCAACAACCAAGGTTTTACAGTCAGATATGCAAAGTGTCAAAGTCCATGCTAGTGAAGAGGTCACGATTTGTTGATACATTGCGTCACGCTGCCAGTTTCTGCAGACTCTCAAGTTTCATAGAATATTTAAATTATGTACATTATTCTAAGCGCATTCGCAATCACGTGTTCGTTTTGCGTGGTCGTTTATTGTAAACAGACTCTGTGCAACTAATTCGAGTATTTCCCCTGATGAATAAAGTAGTCTTATGGATCTTGCCTTCAGGATACTTTTCCACTGATTCTAAACAATAAAATTTTGACCAGATAAAGACTGAGCTACCTGTTGCGACTGGAACTAATAAACAAATGCAATCAAAATGTAGCTGTTCCCACGGTCATCATCCCAAAGCCAAGTTGTGTTAATAAACAAGGACAATTCCCTCAGATTTTGATAAATGCTACCATCGAAATGTTTAAATTCACCAAAATCTAATGCTCAGAGCACATAATAGCGAAGCATACGGCGACTGAATGGAAAGGTCAAAGAAAGATCCATCGGAAAGACAAGCTCACATGGCCTACTCACATACTCACATGTTCGCCACATATCTTATCACATGTCTTAGCATTACTTAGTTTAATGGCCATGACATGCCCCTGCAAAAATCAAGCGGGGTGGCCATTTTGGTGTCCTTACAGGAATGTGGTTTTTTCGGCCTATAACCGTGCACAGGGCCACCAACTCTGAAAAGCCACAGGTCAAAATTAGGTTTGCGTTCCACTTCGTCAAACGCAACTAAAATCAATGCTTTTGATCATCAAGATGTTTTAGAGTACTGGTATATCACTATCATAAACTGATGATTTCATTATATTGAGGATTGAAACATGTATAGCTTATGAGAAGGAAGGAGTTATTTTCAGTTTTAGTGTGTATCAGGCAAATAGAAAATCATCAGTTCTTTCCGGGAGTCAAACTCATGACATTGGTCAAAACGTTATTAACAAATGTTGAAGGGGAGTAACATTTTCACTGAGATTTTTGTATAAATTGTATGCAAGAAAAAGGTTATGTTAGTATGATCTAGACCTATATTAACCTGTGTTGCAGGCGTCAACAAGGAAGGGGGCAGGGGAGGCTCTCCCTCCCTCGTTTTCCGCCTGCTAGATGCAGTTTAGGCCTGTATCCAGAGGTTGGAGGAATTAGATGACTAATTAGTAAGGGAACTAAACTCTGCTTTTCAAGGCTCGATGATGCAACAAATCCCCTAAGATGGGATGTCAGCATACCACATGTTACCCACCAGAATTAGACAGTCTATCTTAACAATTCCCCAGTATGGGTTGGCCAGTTCAAACCTTGTTCTGTATTTGCCATGCTATCATCATGTCAAACTCAAATGACAAATTAAGTTGAACTGAGCTGCAACTGAGTTCAATGCAAGTACAGCACACTACAAATGTACAGCTACAGCTGCACTGAATTCAAACTCAATACATCTGAAGTTGCCTTAATGATAGCAAGTGAAAAACAGCTCTTAATGTCACAAAAGACCAATTTCGATATATCCAAATTCAGCTTGGCAACAAGGCCTAGAGGACACAAACAAAGGAAGTTGAATGACCATGTTTATTCATTTCTTTTGTTTGTGTCCTCTAAGCCTCACTATCAAGCTGAATTTTAATATTTGGAAGTGGCCTATTCAATATAATCTGGGATCCAATGCAGGGACCATTAGGCTAATAGCACCTGCAAGTCCTACTTGAATGTGATAGTCACAAAATCATAAATGATATCTGAGTAAAAAGTGGCAATTTATTCTTATTTCAAGTGCCAACACTCTCAACATTTTCTGAATTTGTCATTTCCTTATCCTGGTTGACAGGTAATAGAGGTTTGGTTGATATGAGTGTATATGATCCCATCCCTGCAGCTCTCTCAGCTTCTTCAGGAGTGTAAGGTACTTCCTTTAGCATTTTAACTCTGGTAAAAACAACAAACGCCATCATATAAGCACTGATAGCAAGACAGAGCACTTGACCTACATGTATAGGGAAACAATCAATTTCTTATACGGCAATCAATACTTGGAAAGACCAGTTTCCTCTTTTTTGACTCATTAAGCGTGTTTGCATTTTTGAAACAAATAAAATGTTATCTACTGTCAGTAAGAGCAAATTAATGTTAGCAGTAATTTATTTCTCCTTCCTTGTGCCCTCTTTTCTTTTTATTCAACTGCTACCTACATGTATCTAGAACATAACTTGTAGGGGGAGTCTGGTTAATTAATTTAGCTTTCAGCTTGATCTTTAATATTTCAATATAGGGTATACTAGACGGAATCACATTTAGGTGCCTTTTCAAATCATTACATGAAAAAGCTCAATAAAGAATTCCAGTTATTATATTAATAATTATGCAATGAAACATAGGAAATCTGCAAAGATACAAGTATTTTATGTAGCTGCATAATGTAACATCAAGAAAATATCCATATGCCTCTGTGCAAAGGTTTTCTTCTTTAAGCCCTGTCAACCCCCCTCCCCATGAAAATTTCAGTTGAGCTTCAATTGATACTTTCACTTAATTCACTTTGGGTTTGTGGAATGCCCCTCCTTAAAATTTCCTCCAACCTCCCTCACAGTGGGCATCATTGACAGTTTTTTGGAACTGCACATTGAAGATTAAAACTTACTTCTTCCTGTGGACTCTTGATTTTATGTGATCTTTCAAAGACTTCTCATCAACAAAGTATCTCCTTTTTAAAGAGAGAATAGTTGTATTTAATCAGTTTTTTTCACGTGCTTGTGTTGCTAAGACAAATGAAAGCTGTAAAATGTCCACCATACAGTGGGAGAACCTTCATATACACAATCAAATGGATTTAATCATTAATATTATTAGTTCCTAGTCTAATTGTCCAGGTGAGGGTGGTGAACGTTTCTAAATGACTCATCAGTGACCTGACAATCATTAGAATTTAGCATATTTATGTTCATGTTTAGTGATTTCTGCTATAAACAGAAATGGGTTGTGAGAAAATGTATCGCTTAGCTATGTGGAGGCAGGGTGCTCATGGTTAGTGTGCTCGCCTCTGGATCGAGCAGTCTGGGTTCCAGCCCTTGCCAGGGACATTGTGTTGTGTTCTTACACAAGAAACTTTACTCTCACAGTCCCTTTCTCCACCCAGGCATGTAAATGGGTACCAGTGAATTTATTGCTGGGGGTAACCCTGCGATGGACTAGCATCCCATCCAGGGGGGAGTAGAAATACTCCCAGTCGCTTCAAGCTCCTGAAACTGAAGATAGGTGCCGGCCTGATGGGTCACTTGGCTTGTACTCAGACTCTCTCTCCCTACCACTTATCTATAGGCCATCAATGTCAATGAAAATCTAAGACAATCAGTGAAAGGTCACACAAATCCTGTTCATGGACTTCATTATTATTAATGTTGATCATTAATGTCCATCAATTTATTGATATCGATTGGTATTGATTGATTATTTATTTCATCGATTTGACACCCCAGGAATTTACTACAGCTCTTGCTGATTTAGGAGTTGTTTTGATTAAATGGTTTTGATTAAAATCGAGCGTAATATCAAGTCAGACTTACGCGCAATGTATACAGTAATACTGTCCTGAGCCTGGTAGATCCATATCACACTCTTGTGATTTCAGTTTTGCGGCGTTCTTTGGTTGCATGTCCTCGTGAATTTGATCCAAGTCCTTTGTTCGTCTCCTTGTGCGATATTTCTTTTTAAGATGTTTGTCGTTCTTGTGCATTCGCTTTCTTCTTAACCGGCCCATTTCTTGAACTACTTATGATGGTTGTCTCGTATTTCGTCAGTGTGTTTCGTGCTGAGAATTTCTACGTTTTTCCAATATGGCCGGCAATAGTGAAATCTTCCAGGCGTTCCCTGTAAAATGAGGTAGCCTGGGTAAAGTAGATTATATTTTTCCGGGGGACGCAGGGGATCACAACATCTAATGAAAAACTTGCATAAATGTAGAGTAGAAATAAACCTGGTTTGGAAGGTACGTCATAAATATAATTAAATAGTATTTTCTTTGATACTATAAAGATTGAATGAGCTACATTTTGGTTAGAAGAAATTACATATTCTACTCTCTCCTCCCCTCCCCTCCCCTCCCCTTGCTTAGTAGTTGTTTGGCGAGCTAGACAGCTAGAAATGGGTTTTTTTAATCTCAAATTTTACAAGTGGGGCAATGTCAACGTTGTCACGACTTAAATGAACGTGGGCAATTATCATGAATTGGTAAAGAATAGTTTAATTTGTCCATTCTATCTTCAAGTGTAAATTTTGACAGATATGAACGAACCGTTTCCCGCTATCGGAAACCAATTCGAAGAGGCGCAGGAAATACCTAACTCTTCGCAAAGAAAAAACGACTTTCTCTTGGACTTGAGCTTAAGCTCTCACGCCGAAGCTGTTTCTGAAAGACGGTCTGGGCATTTGTCACCTGAGAGAAGCAAGAGATACGGAATGACAGATTTTGGTGATATATCTGTGGGAGGGAACTTGTTACAAGAATTCGACCCGTTGTCATCTCAAAACCAGCTCTCAGTTCACGAAGACCCGTCATCAGTGAAGACAAAACCATCCGTCGAAAGATTAGACTCCAAAGAAAATATGGAACTGCGTCGAGCTTCTGGACTTATTCTAGGTCGTATTAAAGAAACTAACTTAGCGAATGCATCAGTCAGTTCGAGTGATGAAGCCACTTCTAGTGATTTTGATTCAGAACCTGTAGATATAGATGGTACATGTACATACAAGTCTAATCTTAATGGAAATGACGGAGCTTTAGAACATTGTGGAGATGCAAGCTTAAATTGTGACCCCGATAGTGCTGCTAAACAGGAAGGTAAGGCTTTTTGTGTTTATGCAGTATAGCTAATAAGTTATAATTTGTTTATTCCAGTTGGCCCTGCTCGGATGTAGTTTCTTTCATCTTCTAAGTGGGATGTCAGGTCAGGGATATTGGCACATTTGTTTTAAGTATGGTATATTGAGTTGGAATCCATTTGGATGTGTTGTTCTGGAAATATCCATGCCCTTCCCATAGACGGTTTTTCAGTCTAACACCTCCCTCTCCCATCCCTCTGGAACTTCCAGTTTTGGTTGATTCTTTCCTCTACATGTTTTGGCTTTTAAGATCCCCCTCTCCCTTGGAATGTCCAATAACCCTCCCTGGCCTGGGGTTGCTATGGATATTTTCTGGAACCACACAATTTTATCTCTTACAGTTCTTTTGTAATTTGGCCTTTCTCAATTACCCCCTTCCCCCCCCCCCCCCCCCCCCCCCCCAAAAAAAACACAAGCCATAGATGGCTGGACGCATGAGTGGCAAAGCATGTCTGTGACACAAATTCATAATTTACTTTTTGCGGCGCTTCAGGTGGCCAGAAATATCATCTGATGACAACCATAGGCAGGCNCCCCCCCCCCCAAAAAAAAATTCACAAGCCATAGTGACATGATTACATGAGTGGGAAAGCATGTCTGTGATGTAAATTCAATTCTGTACCCCTTCAAAAGGGGACAATGTAGCATTATTAAGAGTGTTAACTCTACGCTTCCCTAAAATATCTTAAAATACTGGACATTAAAATTTTTGATCCCTGCAAAATAGTACACCTCCATAACAAAAGTATGTTTTAGTTTTTTACCTCCCAAGCACCTGGGATTATTCTTATTCTTCTTAGATGATTAGAGTAACCCTTAGGGAACAGTAGATTGCAGGTTTATTCAACCCAGAACCTGGCAGATGGGTGTGCAAGAATTAAATTACATGTAAATGCTGCTGAAGAGTGATATTATTGCTTAATTTTACCTTCTTAACAGATGCAGCAGAACCAAATTCATCAGAAACTTTAAGACCCACTTCTATTCATCAAAACTTGAGTGCACTGAATGATAACTTTCGTGACATTGCAAGACATCGCATACTATCAGTGGCTGGTAAGTTATTGTCAATTATCTACATGTATACACTATTCAGTGACTTATGGAGAACCATGTTGGTTTTGAATGTGATCATTTTTGCAAAAAGAAACAGACTAGAAATGTGGAGAGATAATTTTCTGTTACTTTTTTACAGACTGGAGAAATACAAAAAACATTAAATATACTGTTCATTAACAAGTTCTTTGTCTCAATTTACACTGTATTTGGAGGGAAAAATGCATATTCAATATTAAGTGTCGACAGTAGTTTTTATTATGTTCAAGATACTCTGAAAACTGTGGAACTTCACTTCAAAGACGTCTTACACTTACTGAAAAGAGATCATTGCTGTTAATGATGTATATTAAGCAACTTTAATTATAAAAGGAAGTTGGTATGATAAAGGCAGTACTCTCTCAATTAAGTTGTCAACTTGAAGCCAGCTGGGAGCTGGTCATGTTCTGAGTTTTTAATATACCCATAGATGGTGAAGATAGAAACATATGTCTTTGAGAAATCATCACTCACAGTTTAATGGACTAAGCAACTTAATACAAAGCCTGAAAAAATTATGGTTGAATCCAATTAAACTACCTGTAGAACTACCAATCTGAGATCAGTGTTGAAACAGTGATCCCATAATAAGCTATGATTATAAGGTAATTTAATTTTTTTCATCATTGTTTCTTTCTTCTAGGTGATGATAAAAGTGGCAGGCCTGTGATTGTTTTCTCTGCTTGCAGAATTCCACCAATAAATTCTATTGATCACACACGGCTATTCAGGTAATGTTATAGAAGAATATTATAATAATATAATATTATATTATTACTCACTTCAGAGAAAACATGTAATACAGTCATGTTAAAAATAATTATGAGTTCTAGGTGTTTCTTTTCTGGGAGGACATCTCTAAAGTTAATAGTCAAGTGCATAATAATTCCTTTATTAAAGGGATCTCTGTCAGCCAGTATGTATTGCACACCAAAGCAGCTATTAGTAGACATTTCAATGTACAAGAAAGTACCGTAGTGTCTTTTAAAGGCGCCATGTTAAATTTTTGGCTCAAATTGTATCAAGTTGGATTGATCTTGAGAAATCTGTCACACAAGGCTCTCTTGTTGTCTGGTAAAAAGACACTAGAACTCCCCTCATAGTATTTACTGAAAAAGGAAACCAAGTAATTTTTTTTTTTGTTTAGCTATTTGCTGTGTACACTTGATCAGTATGTGGAGAATGACTATACTATTGTGTACTTTCACTTTGGACTGACAAGCAAGAACAAGCCAGCACTGTCAAGAGTTGTTCAGCTTTACCGTGACCTGGACAGAAAGTAAGAACATGACTTATTACTGTTGTGTAGGACTGGTCCTGGTTGCTCAAAACTGCATTAAAAAAAACTTGCACACCTGAAACTTGAATTCAGTTTTGTATTTGTAAACATTTCTTTCATAAAAACTATGCTATACATTAAGGTGCTGCTAGAGTTGTATTAATCCGGTGCATCCCATGCTAGCCAGTGGTTTGATTCATCACTGTTGACACCTTTCTGCTTGACAATTTCTTTTCTCTTTCAGTACAATTTCAAAATTTATTCACTGCATATTGTTGCCTGTGTGGAGGAAAATTGTTTATAAGATGTTAAATCTTGGGAATAATATTTAACTAAAGGTTAACAAATGCATGTACCGTACGTGTACATATACATACTTTTAATTGTGGCATGTATTTGGTCTTGTTTCTTGCAGGTATCGGAAGAACATCAAAGCTCTCTTTGTAGTTCATCCTTCCAGCACTATTAAGCTTTTATGGGCAACCATTGCTAAAATTGCGAGGTCTGTTTGTGTTAATAAACATTTAATAATTAGTGCACTAACCAAATTTTAAACACAAGGCTGGGTGGAAGAGTTGGTGTTGGCACAAACAGACAGTGTTGGATTGAGAGTTTGTCAACTGGCCTAATACATGTATGCACCTACTGGTATAATGAGAAGAGATGATGATGATGAGGATGAGGATGATAATGATGACGACGCCGATAACTAACCAAATTTTAAGTGAGGTCGTCGTTTAACACTTAACTCACTGTTTTATAACCCTGTAAATATGGTAGATGTAGGGGGTTAGTGTAATTTTCACTGAATAGATGAACAGCTTAAGGTGAAGGCCAGAAGGTGTGGTAGGCTAATGGTCTGTTCACTAGACTCCTTTAGAGTGGTATACATGTAGGTTCCAGTCCTAGCCAGGCAATTCAATTTCACAGTGACTCTGTACTGTGGAATCATGGGACAACGTCGCATGATCAAGGAGCACATGGAAGAATGTCAAGATAATGAACCGAGTCTTGTATCATGTCAGCACTTTCTAGATCACTGTTTAGTTACATATACATGTAAAGTTTGCATTACAACATTTTTGTTGCTTTCCTGTGCTAATTCCCCGCAATGCGTCTACAACTCTCATAAGGGGGAGGGGGGTGCGAGAGGGCATTGAAAGGGGTTGAATTACTTCTAGTTGCTTCATGCTACAGAAACCAGAATAAGCTCTGGCTGTATGGCCACTGGTTTCATGCTGACTGTTTAAGGTAGAGACTAACAACAGCCAAAGTAGCCTGGGAACAAAGTATAAAAGTCTCTATCATTACTAAATGCATGCCAAACTAATTGTGAATGAAATTTGTTGTTTACAGAAGTGCGCTTCAACTTCTTCATTTTGTGTTTCAGTCCCAAGTTTTCAAGAAAGCTGTTTTATATAACTCGACTTCATGAGCTGGCAGAGTATGTTCATCTTGATCAGATAGACATTCCAGTTCAGGTCAAAGAGTAAGTGCACATGAGTGATGTGGATGAACTTAAAGCCCTTGCTTGCTTTGTAAGTGATTCTGACCAAAACACACTCAGGCTGCATAATGGGCTTTGTGAGCACACTTTGGATCAAGCTACTTTGTGCTTTTAGTCAATTTGATGTTCACAATCAAGCATTTCTCTGGGCATCACTGAAACTAGTTATCCCACCACCGCTCAAAAGCCAAATAGTCAACCCCTTGCAGCCCTTAGTGACAGTTCTGGAATTTAATTTTGACATGTTCGAAATGTCAGTCATGTGAAATTTGTAACTGTCAATTTAGATGGGCAACTTTGGCACATGCAGTTTAAGTAGCCTATAGATGCTGTTCACTTGAGGCAGATAAATACAACTTTTATTCTTATTTAACACTGAGTGAAGAGGGCTACTAACAATAACAGTAATTGCATGTCTTGGGTTTTCAAAATCCCACATCATTATGTCATACACGAGATTATCATGTATGACATAATGATGTGGGATTTTGAAACCAAGTAAGTTCTAGGTGTGAGCAACACGCAACAGTTCCTGTTGTTGACGTTTTGTGAGTTTGTCACATGCTGCAAAGTTTTACCATCTAAATCAGCCCTTAGATACATATACAAGGTTTCTTGAATAATAAAATAGTTGTCACAGGATTGTGAAACTGTCAGTAATTGTTTCTTGTTTCTCATTGACATTGCTTTTTCTCAAGTAAAGTGGGGTGTTTAGATGAAAATCTGTTGTTTTTTTTTTTACCTTTCAGGTATGATGATGGCATCCAAGTCAAACATGTTGCACCCAAAGAACCATCGGGGGTGTTTTACGCAACTCCTACAGAAATCCCCAAAACACAACAGTTTGGTGTTTCATTGACATGGTGTGTATTTTATATAATTTCCATGCATGGATATTCCAGGTTGTTTGGCATGGAGACTGTTTGTGTGTCTGTCAAAGTGTCCAAGATTTTATTTCCCACAGGATATTATTATTTCTAAAAGGATTCTTCAGGCATTAATATTGCCATGAAATACAGTCTTTCCACCATTTAAAATGAGCTTTCAGCATTAATTTGTTTTCAAACAAAGTTCAAACATTTAAGGTGGCCGAACACAGTTTTTGTGTGCGCTTTTGCTGATGCAATTCAGCGCGTGCACAAGGATTGCAAAAAACAAACATGCCGTCAATAGAGCGATCATTTCATTTACTCAACACCCGCACTATCTGTGCTATATTTCTCTATAACTGAACGCAGTGTATTGCTGGCCTTAGTATTTTATTACAAAGATATGTTAGAAAAGGTAACGATGCAAAGAACCCAGCAATTCTCAGCTTTTTCTTTGTTACCGAAAGAACCCAGTTAAATGCAGCGC